AACTGGTTAACCGGCTGAGCGCAAATGGTCATCTATTTAAAGCAAACTGGTGCTCAACACAAAGAGCCTTGATTAGACAACACTAGTTCTGCGAAAATGTCTCATGCAGAATGAGCTTTGTAGTAAAACTCCCAATTTCTGCTAGTGAGGGTATTTGTAGTCAAACTACCGCCTGTTCTGCTGCAGCTTCTGGAAAGGAGGTCGCTGGTGCTCAGTTTTTTTTTTCTTTGTCCCGAGTTGCATCGGGAATCATGCAGGCAGGCTGTGCTAAAGAAAAATATAAGACAGAGCAAAATCAGCTACATGGATGAAGTAAAGAGCTTAATACACAGTCTAAAGTGCTGTAACTGAACGCTCTGGCACTTTCAAGATAATGTAGTTCGAGATACTTCACACATGGAGAATTTGTCCTAAGCGGTCATGCATGCCAACATCAACAGTGAAATTCAGAGCGCGTCATCAGAGTGTTCCAGACGAGTGTGGTTACCTCTGCATGAAGGATGGAAATGTTATCGATGTAACAAGGCTTACCGCGTACAGTAGCTCCCACACTTCATGCCTGCTGCGCCTGTGCACCGTGTCCGCTGCAGTCGCGAGCCAGCACTAGTTAGGGTAACGAACAAAATGTGCAAAAGGTGCTAATAATACAGCAGTTAAGGTGGTTCAAAAAACAAAATAATTGCCTTAATTGCGAAGAAATGGGGCTGATTCAATGGATTATGCCAACATGATTATTGCAAAGACGATGGATATAAAATACGCCGATAAAGCTTATGACTTGTGTTCGCTGCAGTGGTGCGCGGCTGATGATGACGCTGATGGCACTTGCCGCCGCGCTTGCACTGTGAGCGCATGCACTTTATGAAAGTATAAATTACATGACTATTGGCTTGGTCAAAAAACAATACAAAATTTTGTAGTGAGAAATTAGTTTTTAAAGTTTATTTTGACCTTAATTTATTACTTCGAATGCAGCGTTTTGGGAAGGGTTGTTAGTACTAAACCAATGCTTGATAAGGCGCTTTGTCACTGTGTTGTTTTATGAATAAACTGCGGCGGCTGCTCACGTGATAAAGATGTCAGGAGGCAAGAAAACTGTGCAGCAGTACTGCAGTAAAGTGTTTTATGGTATAAAAAATGTTACAAAATTTTTACCACTTTTACTCATTGCCGATTTTACAGAACTTGCACATGGCACTTCACAGGTTCAACCTTGTGAAAAGAACTGGTCTTTAGCTAGTCAGCCAGTTGAAATTAACTGGTTTGTACTAGGTGAACCAGTTGAATACTCACAATACGAACTCTTTGGAACTAGAATGTTTCCAATAAAGGGTCTTCTCCAATTTGGGTGTGCACATCCAATTGGACCAACAAGCATTCTAATTTGGAGGCCAATTCCAATGGTTTACCTGCTCCAATGGTACTGTTCCAATGGTTTACCAATTGACAAGTGTGCAACTAATTGGACTGACAAGCATTCCAATTGGGAGACTATTCGGAAACTGGTGAGCCTATTGGAGTTACCAATGGTAACTGTGTAGTCCAATCGGTTCTGCACATTGAAGCACCACATACCAGTTGCTTTCCAATTCATTCTATTTAGGACCAATTGCTAGGAACTGGTATGACCGATTGGACCGATTCACTTTTTTTGGCTGGGCGACGTAACGTATGCAATGGCGGCTGAGGGTATCAGCAAGTATGGGACGGTGTTACTTGAAGATATTTCAAAGCAAAAATATCAGTTTGTCTGTTTGTGTGTCGCATGATTCGGCCACCCTGCTAAAGTTTAAGCTTTTGTTAACCACCCAGCCATCTTCATTTGAAGCGTTCATATTTGCGAACAATATCAATCAACAAGCAAATATTGCAAAAATTGAGAAGCAACACCAATAGTGATGCACGAGGTAGTGTGTTTTTAGTAGAAAACATATAGATACATAATTTTACATAACGTAGTGTATGTTACGCGGCGCTGACAATGCGACGTTATGAAGAGTATTTCCTACACTTCGCTACGACCCGGTGCTGCCACCAACCCTTGACTATACAGTTTACACAAGTTTTCATTTCCCGACATTACTGGCAGATGGCGTCCATACCCTACACAGTGCCTCCGGACAGAAGAATCGTCTTTGGACAACCTTTGCAGCGATGCAGGCCAAACGTGGCCTTTAGTTTTGTTTTTTGTTTTGTCCAAAAAGCTGTCAGCATCTTTCTGACAGCGATGCGCGTGGATTGAAGGAAGCTTTTTTTCTTGGTGATATGGTCACCCACTGGCTAACTTAAGCATAGAATACAACTTGGTTAGCTTCAAGACAATGCTACTTGTTGGGGGAGGGTAATGCCATGTCCATAGTTGTGTCTTGTCGTGCACCAGCGACGTCAAGGTAAGCCAATGATCTAATTGATACGTGCAGCACAAAATAGTGAGGAAGCTGACGTTATTGGCAGCTCTCTTTCCTTGATTGTCTCTACGATTACACACCGTATTTCTGTCCTGAATAAACCATTTGTGTTTTATGACTTGCGACAATATCATTTGATCACTAGATACATTACATAAACTTTTCTATAATTTACTCAAGGCTACTTACACATATCTTGTGACTGATCTGTAGTGTATCACGGTACACAAGATGAAAATTATTGCTACGGTTTTATTGTCTGCCCTACAGTTACAATGAAAGGGCACAGTAGCAGAATGCTTTAGAGATATTTTCATGTTTACAGCCTTTTTTGGAATATGCCGAAGTGCGACTATCGAATCTAGCCTCAATCGTGAAAGTTGCAATGTATTACTACGAAGACGGAAACTAAGTAAACTATTTTAAATAAATTGTTAGACAAGTTGTAGCACTACTTCACGTTAACATCTGGAGTCTGTAGCCCGCTTCCACAAAGTTGCGAATATATGCAGAGGCCATCGAGAGGCCTCATCAGGAGAACATTGTTTGTGTGATTGCGTGGCTCTCACTGAAGTTTGTGAGCAACCATTATTCCCTACAATGATTGCCAGACTTTAGAGATCCTTGTAGGCGCTTTGCACTTTGACGCTTGAGGCAGTAAAGGCTTGTCATGACCCGTGATTATGACCATAAACCGGTGAACTCATCTATAAGTTCATTCACTCTAACTCGCACACCAACCGAGCAATGAGTATGAGTTTGAGTGAGCACTGGTGACTAATATTTTGGCGAGTCCGAGTCTGAGCGAGTCCTGGTTCAAGAAAATTTGTTGAGTCTGAGTCCAAATGAGCCCGAAGCGCAAGGTATTGTTACAAAGAAGTGCACCTGCAAGGGCAAACATGGAAGCTGTTCCCTGTAAGCCAATGTCTGCTCTACCCGATTCTTCTTTGCGTCGGAATCTTCAAAGCACTTCTTTACTTCTTCCACAAAACAGTGCCAAGCTGTGAATATCTCTTGGTGGTCTTCATAATACAAGAGAGCTGTGTCAGTTAGTGAAAGGACAATATGCCAGAACTGTTCTGTTGGGTCCCAGCCATTGATTCTGCTCTTCCTATTGAATTTCTTCAGCCAGTCGTTCTGATACTCTGCAGCCATCCTGCCATGGCTTGGTGGAATTAAGTATTATATCAGGGAACGCATCGGTGTCGTCCTTAAAACGCTAAAGCTATGGTCCTGGAACATCTCAATAGGGAACGGTGGGAGCTCGGCAAGGCGACGGCTGCGGTGAAGTCAGAGTAGTAGTGGGTAGTAGTCACCTTTGTCTTACCCAGCACCTTCCTCAATCTACTACGCACACAGGAAAGATTTAAATGAAGAGCTAAATGAGAGCGGAGGCTCGAAATACAGTGGTGATCACAAAAGCAGTGTCGTCATTCTCCTATTCTTCACCAGCTTCTGTCATTTTCCACTTGCAGGTACACTTAATCGTAACGATATATTCCTTAAGTGTTGGTGAGGTAGTTTCTCGCTTTTTTTGCTGACCTATGTTCATGGCAGACATGCGAAATTCAGGAAAACAACATCTTGGCGGGGACTATCTCTCATGATTACACTTGAAGTGAGTGACTGCAGTCGATTGAGTAAAAGTAACATTTCTTGGCGTTCTTGAAACGTCAATATTCCCACCACAATATTGCGAATGAGTTGATTGAAACAACTGCTTTACCTGAAATCAGTTACCGAACTCGATGGAGTAAAAAGAGTCTTTTTTGGCGTTCTCTAAACATCTATAATCCCATAACATGTATTGCAAATCGGTTCTTCAAAATTCATCTTCAACTTTTTTGTCCTTGTGCTTCAAATTGTTTATTAATTGGCCTCACGCTTAAACAATATAGAAACTGGGTGAGCGCAACTTCTGGAGTGACCTCCCAGAAAGGTGTAAGTCCGGGTTCTATCCATGTACAGCGACAACAATTTATTCAATTAAGAAGCTTTCTTTTAGAAGAAAGAAATCTATAATTTTTTTCTTGGTTCCATGCAATGAAAGGATGATCATCAATCACCACGTTCACTGATTGCGGTTCCTCTAAAGCTAGCGAAGTGTTGTGAACTTTTAGGCCAGACCCTTTTCTTGGATCAAACGAGTACCTAGCTTACAGAACCTTAGAGCAATTTTCGGATGTTGAAAACTGTGAAGAATGCTTAGACATAGTCGACGTGTAGTGAGAAGGAAGCTGAGGACTTGGTGCTAAGTCTACGGTAAATAAATATTGTCAGAACACTTTCTTGATAGATTTTTGTAAAAAAAGAACTGGTATTGAAATTTAGAAGTAATGTGAAGACTGGGAAAAGGTCATTGCTTTTTCACATATCTGATATTCAATTCAAGCTAAATAGGGCAATTTTTTTTTCAAATCAACACATAAAAACATTCCAGACATATTCAAAGCATGCATCTACTGTTCTCGCCCCAGATAACAACTGCTGAGATTTATTTATGTGCCCCGTTACAAACATTACAACGCATTAGTTGATTAAATAATAAAGTGTTCTGTGCTTGTCCCTTCTGAAGCATGTTTATTTTTTCGTCTATGACACTGTGGCTCAATATAGTTTCCTTCTGCCAGTACGCTTTCTACATGGTGCCGACGTTCGACATACTTTGGCTTCGCTCTTATCGACGAAGCACTTTGCAGCGAGCCCTATGTATCTATTTTTATTGTACATATGGTATACTTTTGTATATTTTACAAACAGAAGCTTCTTAGAACATTGTGAACCATTTTTGGCTGATAAATGTTATGCTGCTTCAACGGTGAGCTCTACGTCTACTAGTATCAATTAGTGAATGAGAAGATGTAATGAAACACAAGATAATATGGTGCTTTTATATTTCTTGGTTTTGTGTTAGTTTTAGAAGATTGCATATCTTTATTACTTCTTCAACTATACCTATACGTTGGAAGCATGGATATATCATTACAAAAGCAATGCCTTTTGCAGTGGCTGACATTCAATCAGCAAGCTGGCAGATCTCCTGGATTTCTCGGCGGCGCCAGAAGATACCTTGGAGAGATATTGGGAAAGAAAATAAAAAGATAACATGAATAAATATGGCGATATGACCACTTTAAAAGTACATTAAATAGCAAAATAATTTTCACGTGTGAGTAAAGTACAATTTCTCAATCGCTAAAAAACCGCTCTTACCGTGACAGAATGACAGTAAGCGAGAAAACGTGTGAAAAGAAAATGCGGGCGCAAACACCACCATGATATTCGCACGCCAAACATTGTGACTTAAGTTTTGAAGACATCCATAGTTCCCACGTAGCTTCTACCCGATAGAAATGAAAAACATTGCAACCTGTGGGTGCCATAGACTTAGCTTACGAGGTCTCTGAAAATTTCATTGAGCCAATGTCACGATTGCACTAAAAATACATTGTTCAATTTGCTACGTCATGCTTGAAGCGTTTCTCACAAAATATAAAAATGATACCTCAACCTTAGCTTTTACTGCTAATAATGAACGTATGACAGCGATACTTATGACGTTAAAGTTCTCAGAGTAGATTTATTAATTATTAACTAAGTCATTATTTCTCTTTAGTGTCTCTTTAACAAAATATTTAAACAACGTTGGTGGTACAAGGGTAAAACATTAGCTTTGCCGACTCCCGAGAAAGAAGCTGCGCTCTCAAGCCCATGCACGTGCTCCGCTTAAATGGCATCTGTTTGGCTAGAACATGTCACGTGACTAATGTTAGGTGACTTATTTGTCGAGGTCACAGGTCACCAGCGAAACACGATTTTCACTGAAACATGTCACTTCACTCATGTTATTATAATTTGCGTTACGTGCAGAAGCTGAAGGAGATTACAAAGTGTGCGCCGGCATGATAATGATACTTTTTCGAACGCTTCATGGGAATGAGGCCCGTATTCACAAATCGACCTCATATTTTCCTCGAGTTTTCATTATTTGTTTTCAACCTTTTGCTCATGATAAAGAAATCGAACCAGTCTACATGAACCAGACCAGTCTTGTCCTTACCTTCGGCCTTTTTACCATTTTTGTGTCTCTATGAAGCATGTAGATATTACAGGAAGTTGAGGAAATGTGAGGTAAGGCCGAGGTTGATTTGTGAATACGGGCCTAAGTGTTGCATGAACTGCTCCTCTCTTAAAAAGTATTGCTACTTTAAAGCATTGATATAGGAAATTATCATACGAAACTCCCTACCTATGTGTCAAGTGCTCGCAGAGACTGCCAAGTTCTTCCCATTACTACCACAAAACGTACTGCTTACAGTTATTTATTGCAGAGAATTATTATTATTGAATCCGTAAGTTTATTACGATGGCACTCACTAATGTGTTGTTGCCGTTTGTAGCATATTGTATTAGAAATTCCAAAATTGTTTGCAAGTGGTTCGTTTATTAGAGCCGTTGGCATTTTCATATAAGGTACAGCTAAAGGCAAAGACCTCAGACGTACGACGTCCGCGTCATTAACACCAGTTGGCAGGCAACTACGGTTGCGTGCACCAAACACAGAGACAACGCAGGCACGGGTTCACCCGGCAGCAAGTGTTATAGAATCAACATCAGTGTTGCAAAACAATTTGGCCACGTGATGGCGTCAACGTATTTGGTTACCATGACGTAAGTAACGCCACTTCACATGATCCCGTGATCACATGAATTGCTGCTTGGTAGCAGGTGCACTGAGCCCGGATGTAGTGCGAAAGAAGGCAGTGTTAAGAAAGTTTACAATTCCTTCGATTCTAGGAGCATCAACGCTCTTCATGTTTTCCGCCAGCTTGCTTACTTGTCGTCCTCCTCTTTATTCACGATTTTATCCGCCCATCGGAATGTGAAGTGCCTCTATGATATTTGTGCTGCTTTTTTTTCTTTGGTGTGCCCCCCTCTCCCCTCTCGTTTCACCCGGAACAATGATCCGCGGATGGCTCTGGCTCTGCTGCCTCCACAACTTTCCTGGCACCTGCAAATGTACTCGAGGCTGGGTCATGATGTGCGCACAGCGCGGCCCAGCAAAAGGCTACTTTGGAAGTTATTGGGCACTGCGGTAAAATAGTTGTGCATGTGTGGTACGGCCACCCGCAGCGCCACTGCACTTGTCCGTCTCGCCTGATGAGTGGACTTCCTTGATGTGTACTCTTTGAAATTTCGCGCAATGCAGTGAAGATGTGCGTTCGTTACAAGGCCGCAATCCTGACGTGCCGAAAAGACAAGACCGTGAGCCGAATGATTCTGAATGCCAATGAGCGAGTTTGGTGCGAAGCTGCGCTCACATTGTTCGTCGTTCCTCGAGCGCCAAAGTGGCTTGAAATCTACGGACTAGGTTTTTTCAAACAATTACCCTCCTCGTTATGCATGACTAAGTTTCAACCATTTTCTTGTCAGGAAGCCTGGTGCGCCGCAGCGTAGTCGCATTTTTCGCGGCGTAGCTTTATCGAGCGATAACTCACTCGGTGCCAGTTTACCAAGAACCTCAAAGCAACACTTGGAAAACGGAATATAAAGCTGCTTGCTTTCTTGCATGTTCCGAACTAATATGCACGTGCCGAACTAATATGCAAGGAAAAAGCGTAAGTGGCTCATTAACGTCCTTCTGGAAGATCATGACCCGAAACTAGATGGTAGCGATGGAACAATGGTTAGCGCTACTTACAAATGCGGCAGGAGACACGATGGGGTAGCATGACAAAACCTCGACAGCAGCATAAAGGACTCGGTGTGGTGCACTGGAAGCTGAACACATCGAGCTCACTCACACTAGTCACTAGCACAGCTGACGCAGCTGTTCTGACGGGAAAAGGCCGCCTATGGCAGTTTTCTTCACAAAGCGAATGTATCGGCTCAGTCGCTCGCTTAGAGGATTTTAAAATGCGCGACTTCAGTTTTGTCAATCAGATGCGTAGGAACAAGGCATCAGTAATATTACGGGTCAGTGGCAGTGCAAGGTATATATTTGGCGCTATCTTTGTATGAAATCCTATCCGAAAAACCGATACTGAGCTGAACTTCGCAGTTGCTTAAAGTGGGCCTATAGTTAGGTTTTACATTTATTACAATACTCGAAATTGCCCCAATTTTTTTACACTAACGCGAAGTTACCAGTACAGTTCCGAATTCAAAGTAAGCCGAATCCTGCATGCATCTGTTTTAATTGAAGTTGGCCACTTCCATAAACTATCCTTGCGTCAGAAATCATCAACACAAAAAGCAACGTGGCCACGCATAATTTCTTTATATTGTGTTCGGGTGCATTCGTCGTCAAGTTTAGGCTCCACAAATAGTTTTCATCGGCCGAGTTGGCACATTCTGAAGAACGTTATGATTAAGATAACACTCTAATATACAAAATAAGAGGCTGACTTTCTCGCTTTTTATACAATTTAGTTGTTATTTTCGAATTTTGAGTGACAGTATCATGTTTCTCTTTCACTGCAAGATTCTGCGCTTTACATAAAGGTCATCTTAAAAGAATTTAAAGGAAACCAATCTGTTTGCCTTCTCTGGAATATTTTTCCTTTATTTTATCCGAAGCTTTTTATAGTGTCTTCATTGCTGGCGGAAATGTATGTAGCTACACGGGCGAAAGAAATGTTTCTCAATGTACCTAAAAGTTCACATTTCTCAAAGTGCTCAATAAATTATTTAGCAAGCTAATCAAATATTTCTTCCTCTCTTCGACAGATACGTATTGTCTTACACAGTGCTGCAGCACTCTCACTTCGGACAGTTGGGCTCGAGTTCACGCAGTGATTCTACCGCAGAATGACTTTGATCACGTTGTTTTACCGCCAAATCCAAATTAAAGTAAACAGTCACAGCACATCCACGGAGTGAATTATGATGAGTGGTGAGAAGCTTCGGAAGGTTTTATCGGTAAAACGTGAATCCGCCGTCCGCTGACTGCGCTGCCTCTCTGTTTGTCCATCCGTCCGTCCGCCCTAGTAGTGAACACTCCAAGTACCACCATCTCGCAACTTTTCAGCACATACAAGTATCACCATCTAGCGGAAATTTCAAGAACTAAACGATTAGTGGCTACATACTACATACATCGAGACCGCACGACCCATGGCCTAATTAAGGAGCTTCACTCCTAAAAGGACTACCTGCAAACCTTCGAAGGGGCCAATCGTTACCGCATGCATACTTAGTATACCCTTTTGGGCAACGATTCGGGCAAGGGCGGTGTGTCCCAATGCATGCAATAAAATACGGTGTTGAGAAAACCAAACGAAAAAAAATTATAAAATGCAGCTTTCCTAACGCAGCCGCTCTCAAGGGGATGAAGAAAGAAAAAAAATTCCCTTCTACCTTCGAAGAGCGGCAGACCACGTGCTCCATCGGAACACGAGCGAGAAGGAAAGAATGATCCCAGGCATGCGCACGCGACAAAAAAAAAATGCGAGAAGAAAGTCATTTCAGTTCTGATATGACAGCGGGTGCTACCGCAGGCTGGACTCGGCTGCGTGCGTCAGTGACAGTGAAGCGGTGCCGTCAAGGGACTACCACGGCCTTGCGAACGACGCTCTTGAACTGCCCTGCTATGCCATGGTGCGCGTTTTCTTCGAGAAGGCTTGCTGTGTTCTGGTCGCTGGACGAAAAATGCGTGGTTTGACGACAGCGCAAGATGCCGCACTGCAAGTGCTATGATGTGGCAATGGCCCGGTTACTCGAGCGAGCGTGTCGTTGTGAATAACGAAGCCGCTGACGGGCGAGCCGTGTTTGCGGCACATTCAGGAACACGAGTGGTAAGTAATACTATATTGTACTCTTTTTGTGCATTCTCACGTCGCTCAGGCCGCAGTAGGTGCAATTCTGCACATAATGTCGCGTGAAAAGTGCTTCAAAAAATGAAGAACATAAGAATGGAGGAAAGAACAGGAAATGTTGTGGGCTCGTTTTTTTCTTTGTTGGACAGAATTTTAGAGATAACTAACAGCCAACACTACCAAGGAATGTATATGGGTAGTTTTGGAAAGTAAATTTAATGTAAGTGTGAAGAAAGAAGAAGTGGACTAAAAGATAACTTGCCGTGGGCAGAGACCGAATTTGCGACTTTAGAATAACACGACCGATGCTCCACCAATTCAGCTATACCTCGGTGGCTATCCAGCCCGTCTTTATGGGGTGTATATGTGCATTTAAGCGTGGGAGCGTCAGTCAGCGCTGCCAGAAGCCATGACGGCAAGAGTGGAACACACTTTTTTCTGCCTGTTGGTATCACGTAGCACGTGAGGCCAACACATGCATGCCTTAAGGGCAAACACATGCCGATGCTACGAGAAGTTAGAAGTGACGTTGATGGGTTACCAGCCACTTTGTACCACAGCCGCCTAGATCATCGGTGCGTGCCCTGATCAAGGTGGCTGTGTTTGTACGTACAGTCAACCACAAAAGTCTACGTACCAAGTGACTGCCTAACCAGAAAGCCTCTTCGCAACACTTCCGCAACGGCAGTGGCTGTCGACAGCATCGCAGTGTCCGAGACGCATCCCTCTTATTATCTTTGACCTGTCGTTTTCAGACTGGGTACCAATAGATCGCACCTATCCTTTTTTAACGCGACACACTTTTTTTGGCATCTGCGTCTACGTGCTTCTGCCGCGAGAGCAGTTTATGAGCAGAACTATTCTCAGGCACAATCTTTATCACAAAGTGATACATAGCCAACGGAACACCATTCCAGGCATGCCGTGATAGTGCTCATACTGATATGAAAATAAAAATGTGATGGTCATACTGCAGATAAGCGCTTCGCGTGAAAACTGTCAATGCCTCTTCTATTTTATCAATACCAGCCAGATGTGCCCGATCCAGCTGTTCACCACTCTCCCATTTAGTCCTTCTCTGCTCTCCCCGTTCCCCTTGCCTTCGCGTGTGCTTTGCTGTTATCAGGGAGGTAGCCTGCTTATGCAGTACCTACGACGGAAATCATGCGAAGCGATTTTTCGTTCAGTTGTGTACAGTTCGGTAAGGTGGCGTCTTGCATTCCTCTTGTTCACTATGTTGACGGTCACGTTGACTCGGTGAAAGATAGTGTTTTGAGATCACGTGCCGTCGTTCGTGGCGCTATGCGGGCAACCAATGTGGAGGGTCACTGCAACGTACTATATGCGCTGCGCCGTGATGTGGTGGTGGGGTTGCTTCGAGCCACAAAAAAGGAGCACGATAGAACTAATCTGACAGACGCACGATACTGTGGTTCGACGCACGTCTATTGCATCTAAGGTGGGGGGGGGGGGGGGAGGAAGCGCTCGGAAGCAAGTGTGACGCATGCAGCACGACCCCTAATGTAGCGTCGCATCATAATCATTCCCTGAACGAAGGCTGACCGAGTGCTCCCGTTAATAGGCGCGCCTCTGCACTGGCAATAAAAGAAATAAAGGAGGCGTTGAAACCGCGAACTAGCAATGCGCTACGCAGCCCGTACAACATTGAAAGGCCAGTGAATAAGGAGAGTCGTTTCCGCTCCAACACTGCGGTCGATGGTAGATGGTGCACTACGTACTATGTGGTGCGGACAGGCAGCTTGGCATGCGTTCGCGTGATTTGCATACTTTTGTGGTTGACTGTACACACGTAACCATGTAAAACAACGAGGAAGGAAATCATGGGGGGTCTTATGGTTTTATGGCTATGTTGTTTACTTTTGATGCGTGTGGCTGCGAGTTTTAGTCCTGTGCCGTGCATACTTGCGGGGAAATAATATATTCCTGCTTAAATATCTTGTTATTCTTTTCATAATGAGTACTAGTCATAAATACTAGCAAGTAATGTCTGTGAAACTTCAGCGCATTGCCCCCCCCCCCCTTTTTTTTTCAAACTGGCGCACGCATTAACGCCAGCAAAAGCACCTACGGCACCATCTAGATATAAATTTACTAACCGTTCTGCATAAACATAATGTGGCACTAAATCAAAAGAGAGAGAGAGATGTGGTATGAAGCGGCAATAAATCAAGCTGCTGCAGAAAGTCACCAGGGCTCCGTTTCCGTGACATGTTTGCTTCATTGTTGCGTCGGACGAGCCGAAACATAGCGCTTTCTTTCGACATATGGCGCAATAGAGTTCTCTTACAGACACCTCATACCTTTATCGGCTTGACTTGTGGCCGTACTTTCCGTATCTTGAGAACAGATTAATGAAACAGCATCGATATCTGTGTGCGGCTACACAAAATACGAGCTAACCTTATAAAGAAATCTTGTTGAACCTTCGCACAACAAATCAATTGGTCATTTAAAAAAAATTTCATAGGAATATACGGCTAGTGAAGTCTCCATTCCGACTTCAAGAATATAAACCTAATTGGAGTGTTACTTGGGAATTACGAAGCTTTATAATGAGGTCCGAGGGCTAGAAAGATTCGAAGTGGACCGCTCGCTTCTACAGGCACCGCCATTTTTGCGTATGTACCACCCCACCCCCCCCTCCTAAGCTTCTTCTGAAGGGTGTTTCGCGTAGTACCTTTAGGATTGAAGTTAGGAGCCGATGTGGAAACTTCCTAAGAAGCTCGAACTCGTTTGTTGTGCGTAGGTGGTCATACATCTGTCTTCACTTGCGCATGCTGACAGCAATCTAGGCAACAGTGAACCTAATTTTAGTTGAGCCAGTGTTAGTAGCGGAGGGTCCTGTTCCTCATTGCAAAAGACAAATGTCTTGATAAATGGTCTAAGAACACGTTTGTCAGACCTAACACCCACTGTGTACGCGTTAAAGCATATTGCTATAATTGCACTTCTCTCTCTGTCCTAAAAATTACGTAATCACGAGAATGGACGAAAGGTGGCTGAGAAATGTAAAGTAATCTACTTAAACTGGGTAACTGGCAAGCAACGTGATCTTTTCTACGCTACAAAAGAGAACGCGCACGAAAGTGTCCATTGTCAACCTCGTCTTCTCGTCCTAACAGAGAACCGTTCTTTTCACGGAGAGGCTAGTTATTGGCCAACAATTGTAATTCATAACAAAGGTCAATTGAAAAAGATTGCGGCATATTGACGTTTTGCGCACAGTTTTTCATGTCGGCCACCACAAATAAATTGCTTTCTATATTCAATATTCAGACTTTCTGAAGTTCTTCGAGTGTTGTTTTAAGTAAAAAAAAAAGTATTTACGTTCTACTCATGACACAGTTCTTATATAATATTAACTTTTTTTACAGACAGCTTGACCTAACTTTGACTTTACTTATTTTACTAAAGCAGTGGCGAAGTGAGTGTCTATAAGGCGAAAAACGGCGTCGCCTGTTATATACAGTCGGCCAAATCTTTAACTATCATGCTCGAGGGGCAGTTTTCTCTACGCATTTTTTTCTACATGACTGAATTAAGTTCCAAAAAATGGGGTGGACATGTGCATGGCCACAAGAATATGCGCACAAAACATTTTCCAACTTTGTTCCTTCATATGACGTGTCGATGATCACTGGATTCCTGGAATAGGAACCCACCTACTCGCTCTTTCCTCTTCTACCCTTTCCCCTGAAAAACCAATATAGTTTTTTCTACCGCAACCATAAAAAAAAGAAGTTGCGATTGCGCTTGATAGCTATAGTTCTGGCCAGTAATACCTTGCATAATCTTTAATGCCGCAAGCTGGAACATATACTTGGCTTCAAAAGCGTAGATGAGGCGGACGCTTTATTCACATCACCGGAGGTGTCAAAATTTTTTGTCTAGAAGGCCAATAAATTAATTTGCATTTTGGAATAAGCAGTAAGAAGCATTAAATATTATACCTGTAGCTGCTTGTCTCTGGCTCCGAACGTTCTAAAAACGTAGGTTGAATAGAAGTAAGGTTTCCTTACCCATACATGACGCCACACACGCGCGACAGAAGAAAAAGCCGAGTTTGAAGCAGTTTCCAACTTCGTGAGCAGCGCAGGTTTTGTTCTCTGGATCGTAAAACCACATTGTTATACCACCTGTGCATTCTTCATGCGGAGGTTCGACTGAGCAGCGGGGGCCTCGCCATCTGCGACCTGGTAGATTAGAAAAATGGCATTGTTAAGATACTTGCCCTAAATTTGTATCACAAATTGAAAAAAAATGTGTGTTGTGGGCGTCCACTTGAACGAAACAAAACAAGGCTTAACACAGAAAAATTCGATTGGCGTCATAATCACGTCCCAGCGTGCAAAGAAAACACGCGTAGGGGACGCCATAAATTGTCACTTAGTGGTGTCTTCTATAACGGCATCACAACTGGTCAAAGAAGAACCGACTCCGCAAGTTTTGCAACATAGAATAAAGACATAATGCTTCCAGGGGTGACACGAGGGTTGTACTATGCAATTTAGTCGGAATGTTCAAATAATTTAATCCTTGAGGATCTTGTGCGACATTAGGTTCTTGACCATGGTCCCACCGGCAGTGCTTGAAGGGAGGGTGATTTTTATTTCTCATAAACTAGCCATAGAGTAGGGACAGCATTGAGCAGGTTAGGTTGACTTCTTTTCATAACCAAAAAGTTCATTTGATACTGGTGAACAAATTGTAGCACACGATGAAGCTTACGATGAATCATAAAGCATGTCACACGTTCTCATTCTGAATTTCAGGAGCGAAGCTGTTTAGCAAATTGTTCCCGGTGAGTCGAAGAATGAATGGATGCGTAACTTTATTGTAAGTCCTGAGGTGCACAACCCAACGCGCTGCGGACATCTACCACGTTGGGAGAGTGAGGCCAAGCCCGACTGCCTCATCGTGCGGCCTCTGGACAGCCACAGTTGATATCTAATATCGGGTACCTTTATAGCGGAGAGACACTTGCCTTCATTGGATTGGTCGGTGCTCCGTAACGAAGGGTAACGCCAGAGCATGTGGTCTAGGCTAGTGAACTCGTGTCAGTGTCTGCAGGAGCTATTGGGATGAATGTCGGGATAAATGTTTATTCAATAAAACAGGGCTTGGGTGTGAACCTTTCTGCAGTAGTCTGACAGTGAACACTGGCGCTCGACTTTACTTCATGTTAGGAAGACAAAGTTTTCACTGCCGAGATAAAAGTGCTGTGTAATTTTGTTATAAGTGCACGGTCACATTATCTCTGTTGTTCACAAATGCGGGCCGGTGGGAGAGGTTTGTATGGTTGCGTAAACCGATACCTCGCGCCTTGGAGAAGGCCACCTCGTTCAGAATTACGGGGCGCGTCCCCAGATAAATCCCTTGTTAGCGAGGAAGCACGCAAGAGTGTGTGTGGTGTTGCTTTTCCCTTCCAGTATGCGATGGGGTGTTACACGTGGCATCAATGCTGAAGGCGTGGATGGCTGCCCTTGAGTCCCTGAACATATGCTCCTGTTTTTTTTTTAGATGGGCTAGGGAAAGGAAAACTTACTCGGGCGCACATGACGACAAGCATTAACGCCGTTTTTCAGTCAGGAGTGAGGTTTCCCAAATTTCCATGACACACACCAACACCGCAACGCTGCGAACATCAACTCCGTTCAATCTAGGCTTTAACAGCTATAGGCTGTAAAACTCATATATAAGAAATACGAGCATCCCTTGCAAGAAGCGATGTGCAGCTGACTATAGGAGGATGTCTCCTTGGCGTAGCTCTGCTCCTGATTGCTCTGGCATAGCAGAAATGTTGTGAAGAGGTGATGGTCGTAGTGGTGGTCTCTTTATTACACTCAAAAAGAGGGTACAAGTAGGACTCCTGGCTCTCTGCTGCACGCTCTCATGACCTGTAAGTTTTAATTGTTCAGTGCCGTTCAACAGAGAACTGACATAATTTGGCAGGTCTACACTGTAAATTATCTTTCACAAAAAACACATATACCTACTGGTTGCTTATCAACTGGAAGCACGTAAGCCAAGCAAACAAAAGTGGTGCAGTAACCGTGAGGTACCGACATTCAACCATGACCTTTGTTAAGAAACATATGCTTCATAATCTCAACCACGTCGTTGTAAGTTTCAACTGCGCCATACTTATTTCAAGACTTTTACAATTAATAGCTATGTGAAGAGCAACATACACAACACACAAATACAGGATTACGCAACTGCGAATACGAGGCGAGCCCAGCCCCACGCTCCCTTTTCAAGACAACCGAATGATCTGTGCACTTTAGTAGCCTCTGATTATTATAGTACAAAATATCATTTAGGTGCACTTTTTATATTGGCAATTGTAAGAAGCCATTGATCATGCACTTTTTTTTTTTTGTGGAGAGCCGAAATTTCTGTTGCACAATAGAGTACTTCTGTTCAGCAAGGTGGCTATGCCAATGCGATCAAAATTTGAAAACAAGCCGGGATTTTTTCCTGTCAACTGATTGTAACAGGGCGTTATCGTAAATCAAGAGCAGAGGGGTCATTTTATTCATAGAACACTTACGTATTTGACATGAAATTCTTAAGAAAGGGTGTTATTGTGTGACTTGAAAATGCTGGTTTTTTTTTCTGTCAGTTGTTCTTGAATCTGTACTACATTAAAAATACTATGCGCAATAAGGTGAGAAGCTTACTTTTAGCTACTTCCTAAATGAGTGGTCTGCGAGTATGCGCTTTGTTGCGCACTCGCGCCATGATATGCTTTCCTCGGGCATCAAATACCTATATCCCATGTGGTTACGTGCCGATCGAGGCGATGAGTCTGATATTTTACACAGATGATATAAGACGTGAGAAAGAACTGTTACTACAGGTGTCCTATATAACGCACAAACATAACGGGGCGCGTTTCGCAGTGCTTTCCTGCGGAGGACGTCGAAAGACGATATAATCTTGTCTTTGCAGCCGTTGTGTGATATATGGCACCATCTGGCAGTTGTGTGAAGAAAGAAAAGTATTATTTTGTGTTAGATTTATGTTATAATGGAAAGCCGTTTGCAGGTGCCAGTGCCGGGTCATTTCGGTTAAAGTCCCCAAATTTTTTAGTGAAGCGTAAATAGCAAACGCCTGCTTTTTGGTGCATATTGTGTTATTTTCAGCGCCGAGCAATCAGCACTTCCGTCCTTACAATTATGTGCATATACTTTTTTAAATAAAAAAGCACATCTGCCTAATACTTAAGTATTGATGTTGGCTCAGAATCTAGACCGTGTTGTATAACTTCGAAGACAAGCATTGTAGCCTCTGAAAATCACGGCAGTTTCACAACAAACATTAACATCTGCAGACATCTGTAGGCCGTGCTTAGCATATTTTCACTACAACGCTTGCAAAACACCAGTGTGCCAACGAGTGAAACTATGGGCGCAGTACACAACTAATTCCTTGCGTTTGTTCATCACCTTTTGTCGCGTTAATTATACAAGCAAATCACGTCTTTTGCTGCTTGGTGCTCATTAATCTTTTCTCGGCCAGAAGTAGGTTCTTAGTTACCATACTAAGTGCAAATCGCTGCACTCACCTTTCCCAAAGAGCGTCTTTCGTGAGCCCGCATAATTGCCATCGTCATACTGCGGGGCTGGACGTCCTGCATTTTTTAGAAACAAATATTTTGAATGTTAAGGTTTTTGTTTTTACAGGATTCCTACATAACTTTGTGCATTATTAATAATTTATCGCTAATTTTTCAGGATTCAATAAGTAAGTTTTAAAAAATTGGCAGATCCCACGTACAGTGGAAATGGGTGATATACGAAGCACGAATGAGGAAGGTTTATATGTCAGTTTAAAATCAGAACATGGAATCAATATGGAATTATTGGACTCGCATACGCAACGTTTCAGTAGGTATACTGCGACGTAACGTTGACGAGCGCACGCTAGGCGCAGCGACGCTATGCTAGCAAAACGCGAACACTCTATAGTCTGACGCCAGACGCGACCAGAGTCTGTCGGCGCAGCGCGGCGGCAACCGATGCGAATGCTGCATTTCGCGCCAACCACATTACCAAGAATGCACCGGGTCTGCCTAGCTTCGTGACGAAAGGACGCCGGGCTTCCTCAAACGCGCATGCGTCAAAGCAACGCAGTGCAGCGTGTGTCTGCGAGTATATACACCAGACAGATCGGCGCCTGGCGTAGCATGGCCGGCATGACGCGACGAAACGAACGCTGCAGCACACGCGCACTGGGTCACGTCTAACCCCGTATACAGAAACACTCCTCGACTCGAATTTCATCCTTCACTTGACTGAGTTGAGCACTGCACCGCTGCCCGACTGAAATTGACGCTGCGCTTCCCAAGAATCGCTGCAGAATATTGCCGATATGCAGTCCCTTGGTCTGCCAAGAGACGGTGCTCCCATAGACTTTTTCAGGTCGAGGAGAGCCCTTGAGTGAAGGAGCGTTTGTGAATAAGGGGGTAAGTGTATTGGCGCAGTGTGGCATGTAGTCATGCTCTTACATGACTCGCATCTCATAATTATTGTGTTTGCACCAGTCACATACCTTCTTCATCCATTCACGTGATAGCAAATTTGGCATATATGAATATAGTGAAACGGCCCCGAGCGCATCATGAGTGCGGCATGTAATCACGTTGTTACATGACACGCATGTCATGATTATCATGTTTGGACTTGTCATTTACATATGTCGTCCGTTCGCGTCACGTAATACTGAATTTGATACATGTGAAGCTAGCGAGACGGCCGTGAGAGCATGAGCGCATCATGTAGTCATGTTCTTACATGAGACGCATCACATGATTATCATTCTTGCACCAATCACATTCCTTTGTGATTCATTCACTTCTCTTAATACCAAATTCGGTGTATGTGAAGCTAGCGAGACGGCTGCGAGGGCATCATGAGTGTGGCTTGTAGTCATAATGTCACATGACATGCATCTCATGATTATCATGTTTGCACCAGTGACATACCTTCGTCCTCCGTTCACATCAGGTAACGCCGAATTCGGTATAGGTGAAGCTAGAAAGAAGGCTGCGAGCGCATCATGAGCGTGACGTGTCGTCATGAATCATGACTTACATCACATGCATGTCATAATTTCCACGCAAGGGTCTGTCGCTTGTGTTAGCCATGCAATCATGTCATACAATACCAGTTTTGCAACATGTCAAGTGAACGAGACCACTGTGAGATGTGCAAGCCATGAAATGTAAATCATGACATTCATAACATACATGTCATGATTTTCTTGTTATGACAAGTCATTCATGTCCTTCTTACAGTCATGTTATACCATACGAAGTTTTGTATCGATACCTTTATCCAAAGTGCCAGGAGAGCTAAAAGTCGTAGGCGGCTAGATAGATAGATAGATAGATAGATAGATGATGATAGATGATGATAGATGATAGATGATGATAGATGATGATAGATGATGATAGATAGATGATAGATGATAGATGATAGATAGGTGATAGATAGATAGATAGATGATAGATAGATAGTTAGATGATAGATAGATAGATAGATAGATAGATAGATAGATAGATAGATAGATAGATAGATAGATAGATAGATAGATAGATAGATAGATAGATAGATAGATAGATAGATAGATAGATAGATAGATAGATAGATACGCTCAAAGTCACCGAAGCTCGCTAAGAAATGCTTCGCATTTAAAATTAGGTGATCCTTAATCTTCGCCTTTGAGAGTTGAACAAGATAACGATGTCCCGTTGCAAGTGAGTATTTCAAAAACGTAGTGCGTACTTTTTTTGTAGGATGTAACTTCAGAAGTGTAAATTGCAAATTAATATAACGTAATCAATATAGGTAAAAGTGGCTTTGGTCAGCTAACCTATTGCATATCGGTATACCGTCTGCGTATTAAGTAGCATGATACATACCACGAGGAATTGTGCGCGTAAAATCTTTTCGAACTTGCTATGCACGCACTACATAGTCCTAAGAGAATGCGCGCAGTAACGACTATGCCTTTTGCAATGGGTAGTTGACCTTAAACCACAAAGCTATGATAATAGCATGTTCTGACATCAAATGATGATGCATGCTTGCACCACGCATTATCACTGTGGTACTAAATGTTTTATTGTGACGCCTGTATAAGCGCACGTGTGTATAACATGAAAATTATTTTCTCTGCCTTTCTAAATAGATGATGCAGACGCGTGGCTTTATATAGAACACCTGTTTGCCACACAAACAATTCGGGTTCCATCCTTGCTCGCACCAGAAAAAGTTTATTATTTATCTTGTTCCCATGCATGTCTCTATTTTATTTTTCGCCAAGGTAAAAACATGACTTTTCATTCACAACCAATGACACCGACGCCGATGCCTTAAGTTCTGCAAAACGAGATCTAGTGTTTTTTAAGTAATTGGTAGATGCGCGCTCTGGTGCGTTAGTTTCGGTTTCCCCTATTAATGTAGCTGGATTTCGTCACTCCGACTTGATTACTAGAGGCCGCCTTTTAGGAATTTCCAGTTGGTTATCGACTATCCGTATAAAAGACTTGAATTCGTTAATTTGACTGGACTACTTCTTTCCACTACTTAAAAAGTTGTGTTAATTTTTGTAATCATTGCCGTAATTACTCTTTGTACGCATTTGAAGATGCCTTCTGCCACAGAAAAAGAAACGTCATAGGTAGCACGCAGATACTTTCAAACTAGAGAACACATTTCTTGAGATATGTAGATTGCCCTACGCCATTACACCATAAAAGTGTTCAGAGGTTGAAATGGGCTTGCATAGATACCAGGTTGAATGCCGGTAACGCTGGCAAGCAGATGTTTCTCGCGGCTACAAACATCAACAAACCTGAAACAAAAGCACCTCCTCCCATGGCGGTTGGTACCCCTCCAAATACGCCACCAAATCCGAAGCCTGGTGCTGCAACACCAGGAGCACCCTGGCCTGGCACTCTCACGCCTTCTTCTCGTCCACCTTCTGCTCCTTCCTTTTCTGCAGTGCTGTCTGCATTCAAAAAATACCTCTAGGTTTTATGCTAGATGCAATGAAACTTCAGTTAAACAGAATAATTTCAAGTCTTGTCCCTCTTTCCTAAATGCTGATCTCGCTAATTTTTGCGCACCTTCTGTGATGCTAAGCATAAGTAGCCTTGAGATTCTTACATAATATTGTCACGTGCTTGTCAAAAAGAAAGACAATGACAGTTGTGCATGTGCCATGAAGTACTATGAAATGGATGAAAAAGAAGAACTCTCTTGCGCGTTCTATTAAAAGAACCTACCTGCTTCTGGTGTCTCAGTTTCTGCCGCAAGACCTCTGTTTCGACGTCGGGACACTGGTGGAGGTGCTGGAGCCTACACCCTGATGCAGGACAGTCTTACTCGGACCCGTTCACCTAAACCAGAGACTCAGCCCCTCGTCACGACTACAGTGCAGCGATTCAGTCGGCGCCTACTAGGCCTAAGTCCAGAGTCCGCACCTGTTCCGCCTCTTTCCAGCATGGCAGCTCCTACGACATCCACGGTTATCCCACCATCGCAGACCACTCTTCCCTCGCAGGTAACTCTTGAACATCCTCGCGTTCCTGAAGTTTTCCGTGGGGAAGAGTACGAGGATGTCCAAGACTGGCTCGAACAGTTCGAACGGGTCGCTGTATCCAACAACTGGAGCGAACAGCACAAACTTGGCCGTGCATATTTCGCACTGGAAGATAGCGCTCGCACGTGGTATGAGAACCGCGAGGCTACATTCCAATCTTGGGAAGACTTCCGTCGAAAGCTCCTCGCTACATTTTTGAACTCGGACCGACGGGATCGCGCACAGCAAGTGATTGAGGCACGCGTGCAAAAACCCAATGAAACAGCCGCCATGTACGCAGAGGGTATGATCCGTCTGTTTCGACGAGCTGACCCTGCCATGCCCAAAGCGAAGAAGGTGCGCCATCTAATGCAGGGTGTTAAGGAACCAGTTTTTGCGGGCCTTGTATGAAATCCACCTGACGCACTAGATGAATTTATAAGAGAGGCGACTGTCATCGAGCGCGTACTGCATTAACGATACAGACACTTTGACCGCCTGCTCAACCGCACGGCAGTAAGTGCTGCAGCTCAGAACACTGCCGTATGCGAAAGTTCCCTGCGGCAAATGATCAGAGAAATACTGCGTGAGGAACTTCGGGCCCTCTGCGTTCCCCCTGCCCAACCGCCAGTCGCATCTGTTGCCGAAATCGTCCGCCAGGAGTTGAGGCAAGCCATTACACCACCCGCGCAAAATCCTGAGCCACATCCAGCGAGCTACGCTGATGTAGTCCGTCGTCCTCCACCGACATTTGTGGCGACGCCCTTCCAGCCACAACCCACTGCCGTACCTTGGTGGCAACGAGATTCTACGAGACGACCACCAGTTCGCCTAACTGACTTGTGGTGCATGGCCGACCGTCGACCTATTTGCTACCGCTGCGGAGAACCCGGTCACATTGCCCGCTATTGCCGTCATGGCGATTCTGGGTTCGGGAACTTTTCTCGTCCCGCTTCTTTCCGCTCCGAAGACCGTCGTGCCCACGATGCCGATCAACTATCGCCTGGTCAAGCAACCCCACCGCGTCGCTGGCGCTCTCCATCACCTGCGCGTCACCGTGACTTCCCTCAGAGCTACGCGGACGTCACCAGAGGCCGTTCGCCTAGCCCGCGCCGGAGAAACTAACTGATGCGACCTCGGGGGGCAAGGTTGCCAATCGTCGATACACTGAAAAGTTCCCCCAATCATCGCAAGAAGGTATGACGACAACGACGATGAATACGACGACGAATAATAATGCTGAAGAAGTTGTACGTGCCGATCTGAGGGTTCTCATTGACGGACATCACGTTACAGCACTGGTCGACACTGGCGCCGACTTCTCAATCATGCGACAAGAGCTCGCCGACCGCCTCAGGAAGGTCAAGACACCGTGGACAGGGCCGCACATAAGGAGTGCTGGTGGTCAGCTGATGACACCCACGGGTAAATGCACCACTAGACTTCGCATCGGAGATTCTAGCTTCGTGGCCACTTTCGTCCTGTTGCCAGACTGCTGTAAAGAGTTAATTTTGGGCATGGATTTTCTTCAAGATCATGGCGCTGTTATCAACATTCCTCAACGTATGGTGACGTTTTGCGCTCATCCTTATGCCGACAACAGCAGTGAAGAACCACGCGGCCGTTTGCGAATAGCCGACGATGTGACACTCCCACCGAGATCCTGCTGCCTTGTGTCGGTGTCCAGTGGGTGTCCTTGCTATAAAGATGTGATAGCGGAGCACATAGTCACACTTTTGCTCACGCAAGGCATTTCCATCACGAGGGGCATCCTAGCGCTTACTGGTGGACAGGCGGAATTGCTGCTCACAAACTTTAGCAACGAGCGCCGTCAAATCCAGAAGGGTACCGCAATTGCCTACTACGACGATGTAGACCAAGCCGGGGATTGTTTTACCTTGCAACCAGATGACGCGGCTGTCCCCGCCTCGACAACTTTGTCGGTGGACATCTGCTCTACGCTACCGACCTCTGATAGGAAGCGCCTGCTTGAACTTATACACCAATTCGAAGACTGCTTTTCGCGTACGTCAAAGGTACAGCAAACACCATTGACCAAGCACCGCATCATTACTGAAGACAACACGCGACCAATTCGGCAAAACCCCTACCGTGTGTCTCCGAAAGAGCGCGAGGAGATTCAGAAGCAAGTACACAAGATGCTCGCGGATGACGTCATACAACCTTCGAAAAGTCCTTGGGCGTCCCCCGTGGTTTTGGTCAAGAAAAAAGACGGCAGCTTGCGCTTCTGTATTGATTATCGCAAGTTGAACCAAGTCACGAAGAAAGACGTCTATCCACTGCCCCGCATAGACGATTCACTCGATCGGCTGCGTCATGCGCGCTATTTCTCTTCAATGGACCTCCGAAGCGGCTACTGGCAGATAGAAGTCGACGAGAGAGATCGTGAAAAAACGGCCTTCGTGACGCCCGACGGCCTCTACGAATTTAAGGTGCTTCCTTTTGGGTTGTGCTCGGCGCCAGCCACTTTTCAACGTCTCATGGACACCGTACTATCAAGCCTGAAGTGGCAAACATGCTTGGTCTATCTCGACGATGTTATTGTATTCTCAGCAACATTCGAGGAACATCTCAGCCGTTTATTCACCGTCCTCCAAGCCATACGTTCGGCCGGCCTTACTTTAAAACCGGAAAAATGTCATTTTGGTTTTAACGAACTCAACTTCCTAGGCCACGTCGTCAGTCACGAGGGTGTTCGACCTGACCCGGCCAAAATAGACGCCGTAGCGCAATTTCCTGCACCATGCGACAAAAAGGCCGTGAGACGCTTTTTAGGGTTGTGTGCCTATTACCGGCGATTTATTGAGGACTTTTCGTCTATTGCGGCGCCATTGACACGACTCACACGTGAGGACGTCCCCTTCTTTTGGGGTGAACAACAGCAAATGGCGTTCAATGAACTACGACAACGCCTGCAAACACCTCCAGTCCTCGCGCACTTCGACCAGGAAGCCCCTACAGCACTTCACACTGACGCCAGCAATGTAGGTCTGGGTGCCGTTCTGGTGCAGTGGCAAGACGGCTGTGAAAGAGTAATAGCCTACGCCAGCAGAACTCTCTCTCGCACGGAGGAGAACTACTCGACTACCGAGAAGGAGTGTCTCGCCGTGGTGTGGGCGGTCATCAAATTTCGTCCATATTTGTATGGCCGCTCCTTCAAGGTTGTTAGCGACCATCACTCTTTGTGCTGGCTCACCAACCTTAAAGATCTGGCCGTTTGGCACGCTGGAGCCTAAGACTGCAAGAGTTCGACATGACCATCGTCTACAAATCTGGGAAGCGGCACACCGACGCCGACTGTCTCTCACGGTCGCCAGTGGAAACTGCTGCTCCTGACGACGAAAACATCGACGCGGCATTCTTGGGAGTTGTCGACACGGCCACTATTGCACGAGAGCAGCGCAGTGACCCTGAGCTGTTACCACTCATTAAATATTTAGAAGGACGACGTAAGCACGTGCCGCGGTTATTTGCCAGAGGACTGCCATCTTTTTGCTTGAGAAATGATGTTCTCTATAAGAGAAACTTCTCACCAACCGGCAACCCGCACTTGCTCGTCGTGCCTGCCTCTCTTCGAAAGGAAATTATGGAAGCGTGCCATGATGAAGCAACTTCTGGTCATCTAGGCTACACCCGAACATTGTGCCGACTGCGATGCAAGTACTACTTGCCAAAGTTACCCGCTGATGTTAACCATCACGTTCGAACTTGCACCGACTGCCAAAGACGCAAAGCACCTCCCAGCAAGCCAGCCGGTCTCTTACATCCAGTCCTAGCGCCAGCGAAGCCGTTCACTCTGATTGGAGTGGATTTCCTGGGCCCTTTCCAACTTCCACAACAGGTAACAGATGGATAATCGTGGCCACCGATTACCTCTCCCGTTATGCGGAGACTAAAGCTATGCAGCGCGGCACAGCAGCAGAGGCCGCTCAGTTCTTCATCGAAAACATCGTCCTTCGGCATGGCGCTCCGACAGCAGTGATTACAGACAGAGGACCTGCCTTCACCGCAGAACTTTTGGAGTCAGTTCTCAGACTCAGCGGTACAGCTCACCGGAAAACAACGGCTTACCATCCGCAGACAAACGGACTGACAGAGCGCCTCAATAGGACCCTCACAGACATGATCAGCATGTACGTTGACACAGAGCATAAAAACTGGGATCAGATATTGCCGTACGTGACCTTTGCCTATAATCCCGCTCGACAAGAAACCACTGGAATGACGCCGTTCAGTCTGATCTATGGTCGCGAAGTCACGACAACGTTGGACGCCATGTTGCCGCATGAGTGTGACGACATCCATGTGGACGCCGAAGAGTTCACTCAGCGCGCCGAGGAAGCCAGACAGCTCGCGCGTGTGCGCATCTGTCATCAACAGCATCAAGATGCACAACGGTACGACCCCCGACAAGTTCATAAGCTACACACCAGGCGACAAGGTCTGGGTCTGGATTCCGATACGTCGACGTGGACTGTCGGAAAAACTGCTAAGACGATACTTTGGCCCATACAGCGTCACGCGACGCTTGAACGACGTGAACTATGAAGTTGTTCCTGACACTGACTGTAGTTCTAGGCGTCAAAATCATTTACCCGAAGTCTTACACGTCGTGCGTATGAAACCGTATTTATCCAGTTAACGCGACCACTTCATACGCCTGGTAGAGCGCCTATGTTGCGCATCGGGACGATGCCTCTTTCGGAGGGAGGCAAATGTCACGTGCTTGTCAAAAAGAAAGACAATGACAGTTGTGCATGTGCCATGAAGTACTATGAAATGGATGAAAAAGAAGAACTCTCTTGCGCGTTCTATTAAAAGAACCTACCTGCTTCTGGTGTCTCAGTTTCTGCCGCAAGACCTCTGTTTCGACGTCGGGACAATATTACTGAGCCTCAATGACTTACGTGTGCCCAGACTCACAGAAAACAGCTGCCATCGCCGCCATCCCGCCACTCGTCAACAAGAAGGCCGCACGCCAAATTTTCGGCTTGTGTGTCTATTACAGACGCTTCATCAAAGACGCCGATTTCTAGGCTTGTGCGCCTGTCACAGACGCTTCATCAAGGACCTTTCACGGATCACCGAGCCACTAACGCAGCTCACGAAGACCAACGTTGATTTCAAGTGAGGAGCGGTACAAATTGAAATGTTTCAGAAACTAAAACGTTGACCTGCAGGGCGCGGGTTCTAATCCCGGCTGCGGCGGCTGCATTTCCGATGGAGGCGGAAATGTAGGTTCGTGTACTCAGATTTGGGTGCACGTTAAAGAACCCCAGGTGGTCTAACTTTCCGGAGCCCTCCACTACGGCGTCTCTCATAATCATATAGTGGTTTTGGGACGTTAAACCCCACATATCATCAGAAACTAAAACGTTGCCTGCAGACCCCTCCAATACTTGCTCATTTGGACGAATACGCCGATTCAGATATACAAACCGACGCAAGCAGCTAGCGTGGGCCTGGGCGTTGTTCTCGTGCAGAAGACTAACGGAGAAGAAAGAGTTATCGTCAGTTGTTCTTGAGGGTCGCTAGCGAAGGCAGAAGGCAACTATTCCACAACAGAAAAAGAGTACCTTGCCATCATCTGGGCCACCTGCAAAGTTCGTCCCTACCACGGCCTTCCTTTCAAAGTTGTGACTGAGCATCACGCCCTCTGTTGGCTTGCTAACTTAAAGTAGCTTTCAGATCGCCTCGCACGGTGGAGTCTGCGACTTCAGGATTTCGAAGTTACCGTCATTTACAAGTCCGGACGAAAGCACTCTGATGCCGACTCTCTGACCCGTGCCCCTGTTGGCCCACCCCCGCAGAATGACGAAGACACTCACTGCTTATTATGAACCTTAAGCGTCAATTATTTAGCCGAATGACGTAGAGCCAACCCTGAAATCAGAGGCCTTGTGGAATACCTCGAGGTTCAAGCTGCCATCGTTCCAAAGGTATTCAAGCGAGGACTTTCGTCGTTGTTCTTGCGGAGTGGCATCCTCGTCCGGAAAAAAATCACAACATATCCACTGAATGAATGATGATGATTGGGGCGAAGCATGTGTCAATACGTCTGTGCTTTCGTCCGTTCGTGCATAAGTCCATCCATACGTGCGCCCGTTCGTGCATACGTTCGTGTGTTCATCTGTTCGTCTGTGTGTCCGCCCGTCCATCTAGTGAACACTTCAAGTACCACCATCTCGCTTTTTATTATATATTCATCATTAGAGTTACTGTATACGCAAATAGGCAGCATGTAGCAAGCATATACAGTAACTCTTTCCATCATATGCAAGTACCGCCATCCAGCTGTCAATCTAAGGACTGAACGAGAGTATGCACCAGAGTTCTGCTGTCGGCACTTTGTTAACACCGAGGGCGTGATAACGATGCCGTGCTACGTTTTTCGTAACATGTGGACATTAGGATATCTACCCGAATAACGGTATGTGCCTCTGGTATTCGGTTATATGCCACGGGTTGCGCACTACGTCATCCGGGGACGCACAAGCCACGCCATAAGGAGCTTCGCCCCTAAAACTTGTCGCTACATCAGGCCAACTACCTCAGAGTAGTACCTTCGGCGTTATGTCCAGAAGTTCTGGATTCTCTGCATGATTACTCGACGGCTGGACTCATTGGATTTTCCTGTACACTGGCGAGGATACAAGAAAAATACTACTGGTCCCGCATCACTGCCGACGTATCCCACAATGTAAAATCTGCCGAGACTGTCATCGATGCAAGACACCGCCGCGACCGACCGCCGATTGAACCACCTCGCCGACCATTCCAACAAATCGAGAGGGACCTGCTGCGGCCGCTTCCGAAATTCCTGATACAAATGCATCGTTGTAGCTATTAACTGCCTCATTCGCTACGCCTAAACAACGGCCCTAATCAAAGGTAGTGCCGAAGAGGTAGCCAAGTTCTTCGTTAAGAACAGCGTCCTTCGTTCCCCGAGGTTCTCATCACCATTAGAGGTACAACTTTTACGCCTGATTTGACTCGGCGTTCTTGAGACATAGCCAGACAAGCCACCACCACACTACCGCCTACCACCCACAGACAAATGGTGTCACTGAGCTGCTAAACAAGAGAATTGCCAGCATGCTGGCCATGTACGTCGACGTCAAACACAGGACGTGGGTCGTAATTTTTCCGTACGTGACTTTCGCATACAACACGGTTGTGCAGTAAACGACGCAGATGCCGCCGTACAAGTTTGTATACAGAAGGAACGCGGCAAGGACGCGCGACGCAAGGCTCCCGAATGTCGCTGACGAAGAAAACCTCAACGTCACACTCTATCTTTAGCGGACTGAAGAAGCTCGTCAACTCACCCGCCTGCGCATCATGAATCCGCAGACGACCAACCACCGCCATTACAATCTTCGACGACGCTTCGTGGAACAGTAGCGCAGTGATTGTGTTTGGGTGTGGACGCTGATACGCCGATGTGGACTCAGTGAAAAACTTCTGTGACGGCACTTCGGACCATACAGGGTAGTATGACGTCTCGGCCCACTTGATTACGAGGTTGTCCCCGACGGCATCACAATCTCTGCCTCGCCGCGATGGTCTAGTGGCTAAGGTACTCGGCTGCTGACCCGCAGGTCGCAGGATCGAATTTCGGCTGCGGCGGCTGCATTTTACAGGAAGACGAAAATGTTGTTGGCCCGTATGTTCAGCGTTGGGTGCACATTAAGGAACCCCAGGTGGTCGAAATTTCCGGAGCCCTTTACTACAGCATTTCTCATTATCATATGGTGGTTTTGGGACGTTAAAGCCCACATATCATTCAATCATACCATTATTCACGAACTAGTAACGGTGCTGATCGCGACCTGAAGTCGTCCATGTCGCGCGCCTCAAGCCGTTTCATGCACGTTAACAAACTGAAAGAGAACATTTTGCCGTGATTATTGCTTTATAGTAACCTAATTTTTGTACTTTCTTGCATTATTATTTTACTTTCATCTTGTGTTGTAGCATTGAGACGATGTCTATTTCAGATGGGGAGTATTGCCACGTTCTTTCCACAAGTTTTTTCATAAACATGTCACACTGAACGTAATTTTTTGCGCAAACCACGCATGCCCTGTTCGACAAACGTCGGGACTGTAGTAGATCATTTTGTTAGGAATACGCCCACTTCGAGAACGTTGCAGATTATTCTGAAACCTACGTCGCTCGCTAGCGATGACGCTAGAATATTCGACAGCACGTGTATAAATGCAGACGCGCATCACCACTTGTCAGTTTGTAGCAGACGGATGCTCTCTTCACCACTATCAGTGTCCGTGCGTAGCTGTAATCTGACCTTCAGTTTCCTGGCCACAAGCTCGGCCGAATAAACAGTTTTATTTGAACATTGATTCCGCTGCCTTAGTGCACGGCACGACTACGTGACAATATATATCAAAGAATATTATCCTACGCCATTACTTCATAAAGTCTTCAGATGTTTAATAGTGCTTGCGTAGATGCAAAGTTGAATTCAAGGTACTATGGCAAGCAGACATCGCTCGCGGATGCAAACATCAAGAAACCTGAAACAGAAGTTCCTCCTCCTATGGCGGTTGGTGCCCCTCCATGTACGCCACCAACTCCGAAGCCTGGTCCTGCCACACCAGGTGCACCGCTGCCTGGCACTCTCACCTCTTCTTCTCCCCCACTTTCTGCTCCTTCCCTTGTTGCAGTGCTGCCTGCATTGAGAATATGCCTTTAGTTTCCTTGCTACATGCAGTGAAACTTCTGTAGAATGATTTTAAAGTCTTAAATCCTATACCTATTTGCAGATGTCACCCAATTCTAGTGCACATTTCAGGATGCTAAGCAAAAGTAGGCGTGAGATGCCTACATACATATTATCAATGAGCCTCCATGGTGCCAAGAGGTGTATCATTGCCACTGCCGGATGTGTGCGTCAGAAGGAAATAGCTGTAAGTGTGCAACATGTACTATCAGAAATGCGAATGCATTTCTTAGCCGGGCTATGTCGGGCGTCCAGCGGCGTCCGTATGCCGTCAGGCCACTGTCTGGTGACAGAGGAGGTTGCGTATGGCTGCTCAGCAATCAAAACCGTTTTGAAGGATCAGACCTCGGGGTAATGTTCCCCTTGAACTGGGCTCTGTGCGATGAGCTGTGCAGCAATGGTCGAGCCCGTAGTTGCTCTTCACTGCAGAGCTAGCAGGTTACTCCTGTTGATGAGAAACTCCCTAACGAATGTGGTCGTTCACTGAGTTGGCTGTTGCCTTTGTTTTGACTCTGCAATTTCTCCATCCAGCCTAAAATAGAGGACTGGTATTAATTCTATGAACAGAGCATTTGCGATTGCATGTTATTCAGCGCAAGTACTGCTACGCATACACACATGCTTTTTGGGGTTCAAAGGACATTAACGCTGGCAGGTGGGGCCAATGAGATTTGTAATGCTGTGAACTTTTTCTGTAGCTTTCACCATTTCAGTTGTCACTAAGCAGTTGCACCGATGAGTAAAG